TCCAGTTCTGGGTCCCACACTTCAAGAGGGATGTGGACAACATGGAGAGGGTCCAGAGGAGGGCCACTCACATGATCAGGGGGCAGCAGGGCAGGCCCTACGAGGAGAGGCTAAGGGATCTGAACCTGTTCAGGCTCCAAAAGAGAAGACTGAAGGGGGATCTAGTGGCCTGTTACAAACTATTTAGAGGGGACCAGCAGTCATTGGGGGAATCCCTGTTCCCCCAAGCACAACCAGGAGTGACTAGAAATAATGGTCACAAGCTCACAGAGGGTAGGTTCAGGCTAAACATCAGGAGGCGCTACTTCACTGTCAGGGTGGCTAGGATCTGGAACCAACTTCCAAGCGAAGTGGTGCTGGTTCCTACCTTGGGGGTCTTTACGACAAGGCTTGACAATCACCTTGCTGGGGTTGTTTGACCCCAGTACTCTTTCCTGCCATGGCAGGGGGTCGGACTTGATGATCTGCTCAAATCCCTTCCGACCCTACCAACGATGAAACTAAGTTTCCAAGGTAGATGCAGACTAGAATACAAAACTTAGCCCAGTGGCCATGGTGCTTTGAAACTTTGCTGCTGTTGCAACTAGAATGGAGATGCTAACACAGTTTGTTAGTGTGTATGTTCATGTGTGTCTGTGTAAATATAATATTTGTTTACCAGCCATCTTTGGTTTTGTTCTAGAGGGTAAACAGCATAATCCAAATATTAATTATAGAATTTTAAGTATTGTTTACTCTGTTTTACAATAATATGCTTACTAATTTTGCAGTATAAAATATTGTTGAACACTTATACATGGGATGAGATTTTTATCATTCCTAATGTACAGTTAGGAACAATTAAAACAAACAAACTTGATGCGTGGGAACCTAATTTGACTTTGTCTTACTGTGCTGTGTAGATTTTAATGGAAGATGTGGCAAAATGTCTCTGCTTATCCTTGAAAATGGAAGAGCTTACTTTCCTTTACAGTTGAGCTCTTTAAATTATGTTTTTGATATTTTTTCCAACTATTGGTCAAATGTTGATTGGTGTTTTTCTGTTTAATGTCTAACAATTTTAGTAAAATATTTCTCAGCTCCAGAATGATTTAGATTACTAGAAAACGTCTGAAAAATCTTCTTTAATAAGCTTCCTTTTGTATGTATAGATGATACCTGGTAGTGATGTGCATGCATGTGTGTATGCAGGGAGTAGCTTACACAGCAATGGACTATACTATGGAGATACGTTTCTAATCTAGACCTGCAGTATTCCTTCTGTGATAAACAATGATTACGTAGGAATGCAACTAAAATAATGTTAGTTAACATATTTGCCAATATAGTGGTAAGCATATAGACCGAGAATAACATGATCATTCATGCCACCTTAATTATTAGTATGGTTTTTTTCCATGTATGTGTCCTGAATGGAATTCTTCTGAATTTTTACACTGGTTATGCTGTAGGACCTGTATAAGGGAATTTGTTAGTAGTTAATGATCTAGCCTGCATACTTCATCAGCATAAGTTCTGCCTGTATCAAACATTAAAGAATTAGGCTTACCCTGATGGTACCCCAGTTGCCCCACCTTCATTATAGTTTCATAGTTGGTAGGGTCAGAAGGGATTTGAGAAGATCATCAAGTCCGACACCCTGTCATGGCAGGAAAAGTACTGGGGTCAAACGACCCCACCAAGGTGTTTGTCTAGCCTCCTCTTAAAGACCCCCAGGGTAGGAGCCAGCACCACTTCGCTTGGAAGTTGGTTCCAGATCCTAGCCACCCTGACAGTGAAGTAGCGCCTCCTGATGTTTAGCCTGAACCTACCCTCTGTGAGCTTGTGACCATTATTTCTAGTCACTCCTGGTTGTGCTTGGGGGAACAGGGATTCCCCCAATGACTGCTGGTCCCCTCTGAATAGTTTGTAACAGGCCACTAGATCCCCCTTCAGTCTTCTCTTTTGGAG